GTCCATGTAAAACGGATGCGACCCGTACAGGTTGAGATTGAGGTTCGAGCTGGTGATGTCGGCGTTCCACAGAGTTAGGGTTTGGTTGGGCCGGAGCCGGAGCGACGGCTTCGTGTGCTCACCGATGTCGGAGAGGGAGGAGCGGCCGAGAGGAAGGGATGAAGCGAGCTGGAGGTACTGGTCCTTGAAGACGAGGAAGGCGGAGGGGTTGGCGGCGGAGGTGTCGAAGAGGACGTCGCCGGAGGAGCGGCGGGAGACGGCGAAGGAGAACGGGGTGGTGTTGCGGAGGACGAAGACGAGGTCGGAGGAGGTGGCGGAGATTCGGCGGCGGAGCTAGGGTTTGGTTGGGAGGGGAGGGGGACCGGCGAGGGATGAGGTCGTTGGGGACTTCCCACCAGCGGTGGTCGGCATCCGTGATTCGGACTCGGAGATGGCCGCCCGCTTCGAAGCTGGAAGGAGACGACCGTGATGACGTAAGCCAAAATTAGCTATTTTTTTTTCTTTCATAAAAGAAAATTATATCTATACCATTTAAATTAATTCTCAAATTGTTTATATTCTCCGCCAAATATCCCTAATTATTTATGTTGGGTTTATTACTTTAGAGTATTAGCAAGTTGGGGGTATTTGTGTAAATGTATAAGGCTTAATCCTAAGCCTATAAATACTCTTTGTTATCTCTGAAATAAAGTTAAGTTACTCTTTTATCATTAACATGGTATCATAGCACAAATTAAAAACCTAAACCCTAAAATTAACACTTCTCACAGCAAACCCTAGCCACCACCACTGTAGATCCCTTCGGCGACCTCCGTCCGGCGTCGCCCAGGGCCGGCGACCCTCCTTCCGGCATCGCTCAGGGCCGGCGACCTCAGATCCGGCGTCGCCCAGGGCCAGCGACCCTCCGTCCAGCGTCGCCCAGGGCCGGCGACCTCCGCCCGGCGTCGCCCAGGGCCGGCGACCTTAGATCCGGCGAGATCTAGGTCAAAAATCAGTGTTGTTTGACCATTAATTCACTCGCCTCAGATCTCTCGTGTGTTTTTGATGTATTGAAACCCATAAATCGATGTTATCAGGGGAGTTTCTGAGGCCGAGGGTTGTGTGGAAGTGATATTTGGCTGCTGAAAGTGACATTTGGATGTGGGGTAGTTGATTTATGAGGCTTGATTGTTATATATTATTATATGATATTATGAAGGGTTAAATGGTGTTCTGAATTGTGTGGATAGAGTTCTAAGTTTGGCTGGCTGAATTAGAGTAGCTGAATTTGGAACGACTGAATTAGTGTGGTTGAATTGAATTGATTGAATTAGTTGGAGTGACATGTGGGGTTACTGAGATTTGCGGATACTCGCAGAAGTTATATAATAAGTGGGGTGTGTTATTTATTACATACGCGGGTTAAGTTTCCAGTGATTAGTGGTTTGTGAGGATGTCTACTGGTTCATCTAATTCACCGTCTATTACTTCGGGGTTGGGCTCCTCTAGTACTTCTTCAAGTTCAGTATCATTTGGTTCATATTATAGTATGACTAATCTGCACAATACCTTAGTCAAGTTGGACGGTACCAATTACCCTTCTTGGTCGATGGCTCTTTCGACTTTTATTTATTCTAATCGCCAGTCTAGATGGCTTGAAGAAGAACCACCTGCAGATTCAGCTAGTCTAGAAGAATGGAAGTACGTAGATGCTACTTTGCATACACTTTTATGGGGAAGTATGGCTGAATCTATTCGTCATCTTTTCATGGATTGCACTATAGCCCGTGAGATATGGACAAAGTGTGCTTTCTCGTATTCGGATAGGAATAACATGAGTCGAGTTTGTGACATGTGGGAGGCTTTATTTGAAGCCAAAATTGGTGATGCTAGTTTGGCAGAACATTATGCTCGTTTTGCATCTTTGTATCAGCGCCTCAAGTCTTATTTTCCACCTGCTACCACAGTTACTCAGATGCAGCAACGAGAAGCGGACATGATAACCGTGCTCTTTCTTCGTAGCCTTGGTCCAGATCATAGTGCTCTTCGTCAACAGATTACCTTTCAGAGCACTCTTCCTTTCATTAAAGAAGTGTATTCTCGAGCTGCTCGTTACACTTCCAGTCCCAAGACTTCAGCAATTTCAGATAGTAGTGCTATGGTGGCTCGTGGAGGTCAAGGGACTCGTGGTCGTATTAACGGCCGTGGACAATGGAATTCTGATAGTTCTTACCGTGGTCGTGGTCGTGGTTTTCAAGGCCGAGGTACCGCTCGTGGTGGTGGTAGTAATACTTCTAGAGGAGCACGTGGTGGTGGTCGAGCGAACCGCTTTTGTACTCATTGCCAGCTTTCTATACACACTGTTGATTATTGTTATGACCTCCATCCTGAACTGCGAGGTCTACATGCTTCTATTGATACTGAGCCTTGGACTCCTTCCCTTGGATCTTCTTCTGGACAGGGTACAGTACAGTTGACTTGTGCAGAATATGATGAGTTGGTCAGAGCACGACAGAGTGAGAGTGGTGCTGTCTCTAGTCCTATTGCTATTTTAGCACAGCGTAATGATCCTGCATGTCTATTGTCCAGTATGGCTCCTCCTCGTTCTTGGGTTATTGATTCGGGTGCCACTCATCATATGACTGGTGATCCTCGTCTTCTCACATCCACCTCATCTGGTCTTTCTATGTTAGTCACCTTAGCAGATGGTTCTCAATCCAAAGTTACTGGTACAGGTTGTGTATCATTGAGTTCCTCTGTCTCCTTACCTTTTCTTTACCATATTCCACACTTTCCTTACAATCTATTATCAGTCAGTTCTATTACTCGTGATCTTGATTGCGATATTATCTTTTCTTCATCTTCGTGTGTTCTTCAGGATCGAAAGACTGGACGTCGAATAGGTGGTGGGCATGAAGCTGGTGGATTGTACATCCCGGAACCTGAGATTATTGCTGCTGCTACAACATTTCATAATAAAGCTGTGGATGATCCTTATCGATTACATTGTCGTCTTGGTCATCCATCAGCAGACGTACTCCGACGGTTTCCTTTCGTGTCTAGTTCAAGTTTTCAGTTTAATTGTGAAACGTGTCAGTTAGGTAAACACCATCGTGAGTCTTTCTCTCCTCGTGTTTTGAGTCGTGCGTCACATCCATTCGAGTTAATTCACTCCGATGTATGGGGTCCTAGTCGAGAGTCTTCATTTGGTTTTCGGTATTTTGTCACTTTTATTGATGATTGTGCTCGTACAACTTGGTTATATTTAATAAAAGATCGTACTGAAGTTTTTCAGTCTTTCTGCTAGTTTTATCATGAAGTACGTACGCAGTATGATTGTTCTATTAAGTGTTTGCGTACTGACAATGCTCGTGATTACTTTTCTTCATCTACCTTTATTCCGTTTCTCAAATCTCATGGTATTTTACATCAGAGTTCTTGCGCTCACACTCCGCAACAAAATGGAGTTGCTGAACGTAAGAACCGTCATTTGTTGGATGTTGCTCGTTGTCTTCTTCTTCACACTCATATACCTAAATCATTTTGGAGCTATACTCTACTTACAGCATGTCATCTTATTAATCGTCTTCCGTCCTCCGTGCTGAAAGGAGCTATTCCTTATGCTCTTCTTCATCCTGATCGTCCTTAATGGTCTGTACGCCCTCGTATCTTTGGATGTGTCAGTTTTGTTCATTCTTTGTCTCCTGGATTAGACAAATTATCACCTCGTGCTGAAAAATGTATATTCGTTGGTTACTCCCGTACTCAAAAGGGATATGTTTGTTATAATCCCACTCGTCGTCAGGAGTATGTTTCTGCTGATGTGACTTTCTTTGATGATAAAGCATTCTTTGGCGATGATCATCCTCAAGCACCATTAACCCTGGACCTTCTGCCACTGTCTGCACCTACATCTCAGCAGGAGCCACCGTTTGTTACTTCTGATGCTGCTCCACCGGATCCAGGCTCACCAGCACCGACCCCTCTTCAGGTCTATACATGTGGTTCTTGTTCTGTTTGGGGCAATACATCTTCACCACCAAGCGTTCCACCAACCACCACCAACTTCGGTCTAGGCTTCCGATCCTCTTCCACCGTCTCCTGACAGTTCTCCTATTGCTCACCGTACTCGATCTCGGTATCTTCTTTCTAATTTTGTGTCTTATCATAACTTAAGCCCTCAGATGTCTGCCTTTGTGTCATCTCTTGCTTCTGTGTCTGTGCCTAGTAGTGTCTAAGAGGCTTTGGCCCATCCAGGGTGGGCTCGTGCTATGGAGGAGGAGATGGCTGCTTTACATCATAATAAGACTTGGGAGCTCGTTCCCTTGCCGGCTCATAAACAATTGGTAGGTTGTCGCTGGGTCTTTGTTGTCAAACACCATCCAGATGGTTCAGTTGAGCGCTTAAAGGCGCGTCTTGTGGCAAATGGCTATACTCAAACTTTTGGTATTGACTATGATGAAACTTTTTCTCCGGTAGCCAAAATTCCTTCTGTTCGTATCATTATTTCCTTGGCTGCTCGGTCTCAGTGGACTCTTCATCAGCTTGATGTCAAAAATGCCTTCCTTCATGGTGATCTTCACGAGGAAGTATATATGGAGCAACCACCTGGGTTTGTTGCTCAGGGGGAGAAGGTGTGCCGATTGCGAAAAGCTCTTTATGGGCTTAAGCAATCTCCTCGTGCTTGGTTTGGCCGGTTCAGTGATGCGGTTATTACTTTTGGCATGCATCGGTGTAGTGTGGATCACTCAGTATTTAGTATGTCATCTTCAAAAGGATGTGTTATTCTTGTTATTTATGTTGATGATATCATTGTCACAGGCAGTGATGTTGAAGGCATACGACGACTCAAGCAATTTCTTTAAAAGGAGTTTAACACTAAAGACCTAGGTCGTCTGCGATATTTTCTTGGCATTGAAGTTGCCTATGCCAATGGTAGCATTGCTCTCTCCCAGCGAAAGTATGCTCTTGACATTCTTAAGGAGGTTGGCTTACATGATTCTAAGCTTGGTGACACACCTATGGATCCTGGAGTGACGCTTGACAATGAACAGGGAGAACTTCTTCATGATCCAGAGAAGTATCGTCGGTTAGTAGGCAAGTTAAATTATCTTACCATTACCCGTCCGGATATTTCATTTGCTGTTAGTGTGGTGAGTCAGTTTACGAGCTCTCCTCGTACTAATCATTGGCAAGCTGCTCTACAAATTGTTCGATATTTGAAGAGAGCTCCAGGTCAAGGACTTGTGTTCCATAATCAAGGTCATCTTTGTATAGCTGGTTATTCCAACCCTGAATCTTTGGAGGTGACAGGATATTCTGATGTAGATTGGGCTGGTTGCCTTATGGATCGCCGGTCTACTTCGGGATACTATGTATTTCTTGGTGGTAATCTTATGTTGTGGAAAAGTAAGAAACAGTCTGTTATTTCCCGATCTAGTGCAGAGGCCGAGTATCGTGCTATGGCTAATGTTACCAGTGAACTTCAATGGGTTCGTATATTGTTAGCTGAGATTAGACTACCTATGACCGGATCATCTATTTTGTGCTCTGATAATCAATCTGCTATTCATATTGCTAGCAATCCAGTGTTTCATGAGCGAACGAAGCATATAGAGGTGGATTGTCATTTTGTTCGAGAAAAGGTGAACTGTGAAGACATACGGTTGGTACACACACGTTCTAAAGAGCAACTAGCAGACATTTTCACAAAGCCTCTTCGACGTGGACGAGTTTCATATATTTGTCATAAGTTAGGACTTTTTGATATGTATGCTCCAACTTGAGGGGGAGTGTTGGGTTTATTACTTTAGAGTATTAGCAAGTTGGGGGTATTTGTGTAAATGTATAAGGCTTAATCCTAAGCCTATAAATACTCTTTGTTATCTCTGAAATAAAGTTAAGTTACTCTTTTATCATTAACAATTTATCTCACAAAATATCGCATAAATAGTATGTAAACTAGCATCTTAATTTAATCTCGTGCGACGTTTCGATATTGAAATTTGATTATTCTCTTTTTAGCAGCAACCCTCTTAGTAAAATTCGAACTTCAAAATATTTTCCTCCTTTTTCTCTTTACGTATATTTATAATTTTTTTTGTGCATTATTACTGTTGACACTCAAAATTACCCCTGGTGGGAGTGGGCCGGTTACAAGTCACAAAGGATATAAAGTATGGCCCACATGTCATTAATCCGGAAAAAGGCCGTGAGTCAGGCCCAGAGGCATTGAGAAGACCTGAGGTAGTTATCGACAGGACACGTTATAGAAGTGTCAACAAGTCCAAAATCACGAGCTTTGCACGTGACGTCGACGAATTCAAGATCACGAGCTCTTCACGTGACGTCGACAAATTTAAGATCATGAGCTTTGCACGTGACGTCGACGAATTCAAGATCACAAGCTTTGCACGTGACATCAACAAATCCAAGATCACGAGCTTTGCACGTGATGTCGATAAGTCTGAAATCATGGTGACACGTGGTGAAAAAATTCATTTACACGTATCAAAAGGTGAAGATATGATCTTAGGTGTGAAGATCAAGGAAGTTAGAGAAGGACACTCAGGAAATAGCATGAAATAAAGAGACACATGGAAGAAAATCAGCTATTACGTGATGCCCAAGGAGCGTAAGCAACATCGATAAGTCAGGAAGCGGTTAAAGCGCGAAACGTAAGGACGTGAAAAATAACTTGCAAGGAGAAGTGGTCGGTCAACAGTTATCAAGCTGCTTTATAAATACTCAAGGATTTCCAACGTAGAGAGGACTTCTTCGCGAACAACACAACACATCTTTTATCTAGCCTTTACTCTTAGCGCATTAGGAGTAGTTTCAGTTGCAACCTTCAGATTCTGCGTCATAGATTCAATTCCGGCGAGAGTCTTTATCAGATTCAACATTGTTGATTAAATTCCAATGTTGTGCCACCAGTTCAGCGTCGTCGATTAAATTCCGACGTTGTGCTTGGAGTATAGCTGTTGATTAGATTCCAGCCATATTCTCTCAAGTTACGTCATTGATTAAATTTTGGCGTACCTTGAATGACAATGTCGTATTAGTTGTGTCGTGGATTAGATTCCGATATAGCTTAATCTCGACATTTGCAAGTTGTCATCTCATTGTTAGTATTGTCAAGTTTGGCATCATATCGAGTCAAGTTGTAAGACCTAAATTAGGTTTAATAAATGCATTTGACATTCTCTGTCCAAGCTTTATTCAAGACCCTAGTCTCCCCTAATAAAATTCGAAATGCAGCGTTCGGTGAAAGATTTTCGACGGGATAAAACTGGCGAAACATCTTTTTGGCACGCCCGGTGGGACCTTTATTGAGTTAAGTAGAGAGAGTGCTATGCCACGCACCCGGAGTAGAACCAACTCGGATAATACTACTGATGAGCAAGCTGTATCGATGGCGGAAGATAATACCCGTGCTGAAACATCATTCGCTCAACTTCTTCATACCGATGTTGCTAACCAATCTCGAGAGGAGGTCACAGATATGTCGAGGCAGCGTGTTGAAGATAGAAGGCAAACTGAGCTCACACCAGTTGCACTTTCTACCATGAGGCGGACTATTGAAGAAACTCAGAACGAGTTCGTTGATTATGTGGTAAGGCGTATGACTGAAGTGGTTAGGCCTTTGATCATTAACACTTATCATGAATGCACGCAAGGTCAACATGGGGGGTCTATCGCACCGACCCAACTAAGAACAGGATCTCCGTCAGCATTGGGGGGTCATGCAATACAGTTTGGAACAATGATGCAAAGTACGTCTACGATCCCACCCATTCGAATATTACCAAGGGGAGAAACCTTGCCAATAGCACCCAGCGAGGGATTAACTCACGCTAGCGCGAACCCAAATGGAGGAATTGCTCGACAGTCGGTGATCGATGAAAACCTCCAAAGAGGACATTAGGTTACTCAGGTGCAAGGCCCCCTGTGATCCAAGTAAATCCTCTACCTGTAGTCCTAGATGTTCAGAATCTTGCAATACCCTTGCCTAGGGGGCAAGAACAGATCCAACAGATAAACATTCAACCACAACATCAGGCACCCTAGCCTGCAGTACCTAACGTAAATCAGCATTTTCCACCCCCTATGGGTCAAATTGTTCAAGTCCAGCAACCATTGCCAGCACAGTTAAATCCACCAGTCAACCCACATATGATTGCTCACAGCGTACCATAGCTAATGTAGCCACCACCTTAATAGCAGCCATTCTACCAATTGCCTCATCAAAATCTGAACCAGCCATTGCCACCTAATTATGTTGTAGCTCCTATGCCCGTCGTGGGTCAAGTACGAAATCAGTTAGTAGTGGACCCTGTGATGAGGGGATATGACCATGATATGGGATACCTCCCAAACGTTTATAGAAAACCATATCCTGATTGGATGGATACTATACCATATCCAAGGGGTTTTAAAATGCCAGAATTTACATTGTTCATTGGAGAAGAAGATCAGTCCACTTTTGAACATGTTAATCATTTTGTAGCTCAATGTGGTGATGTGGCTCATGCTGATTATTGGAAGTTGAGGTTATTTCCCTTATCCTTGTCAAAAACCGCGTTTACCTGGTATACTGCTTTACCTGCAAATTCGGTTACATCATGGGAACAAATGAAAAGGTTATTTTATTGCCAATTTCAAAGGGCTGTGCCGGATTTGTCGATAGCTGATCTCTCGATTATGAGACAGTTAGCTAATGAATCTGTCGATCAGTTCGTTTCCAAGTTTAAAAGGGCAAGGAATAAGTGTTTAGTCCCTTTACCTGAAAAGACTTTTGCGGGTCTCGCTTTTAATGGACTGAAGTTTGAAATCTGAGAAAGAATGGTTAGACAACCATATTCAGATCTGTTCCGGTTGTCAACCATAGCTACTAAGCATTAAAGTCTCCTTTAGGAAAAAGACAAAAGGTATGGTCGACGGGGTGAAGTTCGTTGGGCAGATGCTGACAAGAGCGAGGATGAAACTGAATCAGCAGATATAGCAGATGTGGCTCTCGCTAAAATGGTGATTGATAAGCCATGCATCTGCTAGGCTCTAAAGCCAGCAAGAGTTAAAGAAAAATCTAACCTCATGTCTAAGGCTAAGGAACCCATTTTTTATTCTTTTGATATCAATAAGACAGAGGAAATATTTGACTTATTATTAGCCGACGGACATATTAGACTGACGGAGGGTCAGGTTTTACCCACCAAAGAAGAATTAGCGGGAAAGAAGTATTGTAAATGGCATCATTCATGGAGCCATGCCACCAATGACTGTTTTGTATTTAAGAGAAACGTCCAGGAAGCGATTAAGCAAGGGAAGATAAATTTCTCTGAGGACAAAGGTAAGTCCCCGATGGAAGTTGATGTTGATCCTTTTCCTGTAATGACATGGATGGTGTCATTAAGGACAAAGACCAGGGGGCATCAGCCATATAGTTTTTGCGAAAAATGTAAACGATTGTTGGAACGAGAGAAAATTATTCCAACAGTCGAAGACGTCCGCCCAATGAAGTTGTTGACGAATTTCGTGACTTGGTCCTCACTGATTCATATGATGAACAAGTTCCTCCTAAGAGTGTTAATCGTCATAGAGGCTGTCGAAGCCGTAATAAGGCTATTAAATCATTCAAGCAAAGGTACGAAGAGAGTGATCCAACTATTGGTACTTTGGGAGAACCTAGTGGTAAATTTGATTATTATATTAGTTATGCTCCACCACCTTCATACAATGGGAGGATTGAGCCAAGTGGATGGGGTTCTAACTTCTTTGTCCGAAGGGATCTTCACACAGACCCTCATCCACCACATCGATAAACTCTGAAAGTGCCAAGAGACCCACTTGTAGGTCAATGGTATGAGGCCCGCCCAACTCAGAATCACAGTTCAAATCTGACGCGGACTCAAAAAAGGAGAATGTTGAGGAAAAGAAAAAAGTATCAGCTCCAACAACAAGTAAGTCAAGTTCACATCAAGCAGGTTAGACCAACCTTGATCACAGAACAAAAGGTCAAGCCAAAGTACCCTAAGCGTAGGAACTTAGTCTGGAAAAGAAAACCAGGAATTCAAGCGTCGACACTTGATCGACCTCGGCAGTCTTCACCAAAGCAAGACATTGAGCCTGCGTGGTATGAACCACAACAATTGTCAAGATCAATCTCGTCGTTGAGTTCTTGCATGGTTCGAGTATGCCTTCCATCGAACCTTCGAGTTATGACGGTAGAGCCAGGTCATCCGGAAGAAATTACAATGGAAGAGAAAGAAAAAACAGAATTTCACTTTGATATAGAGGAGGTGGTTGAATTCGAGAAACCTCCACCCAAGGGTTCAAACCATTTAAGAGCTTTGAATATCAACGCAAAAGTTAATGGCCGACCTGTGTCTCGAGTGTTAGTGGACGGAGGATCTACACTGAATCTCATCCCATATCGTTTCTATAAGAAATTGGGAAGGCGCGATGAAGAGATTATTCCATCGAACATCTAATTGTCCGACTTTACTGGAGAAATCTCCGAAGTTAAAGGAATTTTCATTGCTGATTTAACCGTTGGCACCAAAACTTCTAGGACATCCTTTTGTGTGGTTGATGCAGATGGATCTTACAATTTACTATTGGGTCGAGATTGGTTCCATGGTAATCAATGCGTACCATCAACTCTCCATCAGATGCTAGTATTTTGGAATGGAGATAAGGTAGAATACGTCAAAGCAAACACCAAGTCACAGACAACCTATGTACATGCATCTCCAACTCACTAATTGGCACTGGAAGACAGTATATC